TGCTGAAGGTGAGGAGTGCTGGCGGGGCTACCTGCACACTCAAGTAGATGATGGCAAGTCTGCCGTACAGACTCGTGGCTGGTCCGAATCTTGTTTTTGTGCCGGCGTTGGAAGCCAACGAAAACAGCAAGTAAACAGAAAGCAATGCACGTGCGCGCTTGGTGTGGCCATGCTGAAGGCTGTCCCCAGCACAAGTGCAGCATGGTAGTGCCTCCGCGCTTTTTCTACGACTTCTGCGACGAGGAGAGGCAGAAGAAGTATCAGGACGGGCAAAGCTGCCTGGCCAGCTGTGAAGTGATTGTCAGTGCAAGAACTAGCCGCAGCCAACACAGCCTTGCGCGGCTCAGTTTGGAACTGGTGAGGCCTGGTTGGAATTTCAGTATTGCTCGGCTCGTAGGAGTGGCGTTTGCGAACATATGTGGATGAGAATGCGTCAGTCAAGTGGTGTCCCAACCCCGTGGGCTGTCAGTACGCCTGTGAGTACCAGGGAGTTGAACCTTGTCTGCAATGAGCATGTCCGCTTGCACCCTAGAACGCGCAGGTATTGGTTCACCGGGCAAAGGTATCAGTGACAGTGACTTGATGTGACTTGACATGCAACTTGAGGAGATTGTTGAAATTCATTGCCATTGCTGCTTCATTTGGTGCTGGGCCTGTGGCGAAGAAGCTCACAAGCCCGCAAGCTGCAAGACGGTGAATCAATGGAATGTCAAGAACAGCGCGGAGTCTGAGAACATCAGCTGGATCAGAGCTCACACGAAGAAGTGCCCAAAGTGCCCATGACTCAGCTCAAAATCTATGAGCGCGGCAGCCAGGGCACTTTGTAGCTTTAAATCCGGGCCACACTTGTACGATGCAAGAAAGTTAGCCACAGGTTCGGTCCTCCAGATGGTTCCACCAAGTAGCAACAAAATGGCATAGTCCCAGTCAGTCAGGAATCCATGTGATTGCTCCAGGTCACAAGCCCATTGAGAAGAACCAGGGCTGTAACCACATGGTCTGCTCAAAGGCGGGGCACTTTTAGCTTTGATATCAGGCTCGGGACGTCATGTGCTATTGAATGCAGTTTGAAAGCTCGGGTAGTGGCCGTAGTTGAAGCCAACACGAAGCCTGCCCCTTTGGCGGGCAGTATTTGTTAGAAAGTTTCAAGCAAATCTCGCCAACCACTCTTTGCACTTGATTTTGTTGCAGGCTGGTGGCTGTGGCCATGAGTTCTGCTGGCTGTGTTTGGGCGAGTGGTCATCTCACGGGACTTCAACTGGCGGGTATCTTGGCATTTGTGCGGTGCTGCTGTTGGTTTTGCCGTCGCTCATGTGACACATGTTGCAAGGATGACGATGGCAAAGCAAGGTCTTTCATGCGGTGTGGTGGCATTTTCTCTTGTTCTTTCAGTGTTTGTAGTTTCGCCTTGGCCGCCTTGGGCCTGCATATTCTCCGACCATGCGCCAACAAATGAAGAATCAAAATGTGTGTTAGTTGTCATTGTTTGAGCGGCTGCTCGGCAAATTTCCGCTGAGTGCACAGGAGTTGCCAGCAATGGACGCACCATGACCACTATGGCCAAGGTACTACCAGTGCAACATTTATGACAAGCAGTCCAAGGAGGGCAAGCACGCAGACGAGGAAAAAAGCAGGCTGAAAGCCAAACACGCCCTCGACAAATATATGTTCTATTTTGAGCGCTTTATGGACCACGATCGTGGCATGAAGCTCACTGTCACAGAGGAGCAGGACCGTGGCAGCTAGCAATTCAGATTTGTTTTGAGAATTGGAGCCGGAAGCTGCTGTTTCCTGGAAGCCAACGAGTGTTAGCTAAGACAACTGCCAACGAAACTTGGCCAGGACATCGAGGGGAAGGTCCAAAAGCTGCACGATGAGCATGGCTTCGAGATCATCGAGCTGCAGTTTCTCTACGATGCGCTTCGGCAAGTTCGAGCGTGTCGGCGAGTCCTGAAATGGACCTACGTTTATGGTTACTATTTGGAGGACTCCAAGGCAGCTCGGACGCATCGTTTCACGGGAATTCCCCATCAGTGCCAAGTTGAAACAGTTTGGCATGCGAAAAAGCAACGCCGAGTACCCCTAGAACAGGTCCGCAGGGCATGGTTTGCCTCATACGCGACAGTTCTATGCTGGGCCCCTAGGATGGGTGTTCGGCTGTTCCGCGCTGCCAAAGTTTAAAGTCGGCGTTGCTGTTGTATTTGTAACCCGCTGTCAGGAGAAGAATCTTTTTGAATACTTGCAGAAGAATCTGGAGGAGAAGACTGATGCCCTCCACGAAATGCTGGAGAAGGACTTCGACAAGATATTCTTTGACCAGGAGAACCAGCTGACCAGCGGTTCCGCGGAGGCCCACAAGAAGTTCATGGACTTCCGTATGACGGCCACGAACTTCACCAATGTCACCCAGAAGTTTCTGATACAGATCCTGAATGACTTAGGATCTGACATTGGTCTGGGCCAGAGACTGTCTTCGAGCAGTTCCATGTGATGTTTAAAGGCCGCAGTCTGCAGTCCCCACTGCTGATCCCGAAGCCTCTGAAGTAAAGTGATGCCAACTGGCAACTCAAGGCACCCATATGCACCCATGCATACAGCAAACAAGAAAACCCGATCAGTAGAGTGGGGGCATGTACATGCCACGAGGGCGCGGCATGATGCCTTCACTCACCAAAGCTCAAAGTTGAACGGCACTTGTCAGAGCCCTCAATCGAATGCAGAATGTGCAGGCAGACGAACGGGGCAGACATTGCTCCACCTGCATCTTCAAGATAATAGTCTGGTGGTCAAAGCGTCACATCGAAGCGCAAAAGCCAATGCGTCGAGTGCAAGCACTGTACTGCAATGACTCCTTGGCAGTGTTGTGAAACTGTGTCTTCCAGCTTGTGGCAGGCTGCCAGACGAATTGCAGCTTTTGATGAGGCAGGCAAGCTTGCCACTGCACTTCCATTGCCCGGCCCCATGCCCTGCCTGCCCAAACGCCGCAATATGTTCCAATAAAAACGACAGAGTTGGCTGCGGGGGCAAGATGGCGAGAGCAAGCGTTGCATGAGTTTCTGGCAATGGCCCAGGTTTTTCCAGTCCCTGAAATTGGCTGTTTTCCCTTTTCAGCTTACTTGATAACTAGAGCACTCTAATTGGACTGAAAAGGAGTTCAAGCCCATTGAGCGAGAGCTGTCCAAGCCAACATTGAGAAAACTGGAAGGAGCTCTCCAAGCAGAAGGCTGTACTCGCCTTGGCTTGCAATTTTTGAGTGACTTATCACCATGAATGGGTAGGACCAAAGTGCTTGGATCAGTCAAAGCCTTGCCGCCCTAGGCCATGCGCCGCCGCCGAGCAGACCATCCAAAGGGCCCACGTGCCTTAGGCGCGCGGCCCGGGCACGCAGCGCGCAGGCATTCAAAGACAGATCTGGGGTGGGTACTTGCTTGTGGCTTGGGCATCAGAATGGCCAGAAAGTTCCACAGCTGTATCCATCCCATCAAGCTTCGAAAGTCGCTGGCGGAGAGTGTTTGCGGTCGAGACAGTATTGGCCCGTGCCTTTTGGTTGTGTTGTTTTTCTGTTCCGGATAAAGAGAACTTGCTCACAGATGATGGCTGAGAGAACTTCCTCAGAGAAACTGGCTGAGAGAGCTTGCTCAGAACTCGCTGAAAGAGCTTGCTCAGGTAAACTGGCTCAGACAACTCCCTCGCTCTTTCAAGAATCACAACTAGACTTAAATCAAAGCTTTTTGAGGCGAGGGTTGGGTACGTACGCGCTCGGGATTGCCGCTCTCATGGATGAGGCAGGTCAGCCTTGGATAGCTCTCCGCGCGCAGCCCTTTGCGATCGCCTTCCAAGCCTCGAGAGTTTTGTACCCTTTTCTGACTCCCAAGCGACCTGTGGCACCTGATATTTTTTCGGCTCGGTACTATGAGGTAGGTGCTGGATGGGTGCCCGGAGGGTGCCAAGGTGTTTCGTGGAGCAGTTGCTTCTAGAAAGTGCCAGAGGTTCGATGGAGCTCCGGAGGGATTCACATGGAGTTCCGGAGGGGCCGAAGTTCCGATAGCTTTCGGAGGCGGTTTCGGGGTGCAGGGCGGGTTGGGTTGCGAAGGGTTCCGAGCGGTTGACAGTCGAGAGTTCCCGACGGTTCCCGAAGGGTTCCTTCCCGAAGGTTCCCGAAGGTTCCCGAAGGTCCCCGGTGTTAAAAGCCACCTAGAAGGGAACATAAGGTCTGAAAAGAGCCAAGGAAAGATCAGGTCTGCCTGTTGGCCTGAGGCAGCGCTGTGCTGGAGGGCGAGGCATTGCAGGCACTGGCCGCCAAGCATGCCGAGGGCCTGGCGGCGTGCAAGGCGCAAGTTTCGAGCTCCAACTGCGGTTTCTTGGCAAGGTGCACGGTGTGCTTAAACGCAATGAGAGCAACATGCTTTGGCGATCCCGCGCAGGGTGCCGCTGATGCAGCTGCGCAATCTGAAGAACATCAAGAACTCCCCTGGCAGGAAGTTTGATGAAGTTTGCATCTGTGTAAGTGCCTCCAGGCAATGCCGAATGTTCGGAGACACTTGTGCACGCGGCTCCGTTATGGGCTGGCGGTATGTGACAATGTTTTGGTTCGGAGGACCTCCTGAACGCTTGGGGCGACCTTCAGGCAGACTTGTCGGAGGCATGGCCCAATGGTAGGGTGGAATCGTCCCCTCGCAGACCCCCAATGTGCTGTGATGTTGGGGAGTGGTCGTGAGTGGTCGGCCAGCCAGCAGGCAACTGACGATGCAGCGGCGGAAGCAAAGGCATGCTGTGCCGAGGAGGCAGGTTGGGGCATGCAATTGTGGCAGCGGAGGTGACGCAGTGGAAGTATTTAGGCATTGGCATAAAGCATAAATCTAGGTGTATATCGGTATGTGTACTGTACTGCTGTAAGGTTCGTGTTTGTTGTTCGCATGCGAAGAATGCCAAAGTTTCTTGAGTCACTCACAAGTGGCTTACGATACGTTTTGAACATTCACATTTGGAAGGTGCTGTGGCTTTGTCATTGCCTCGAGGCTTGTCAGGCCTTAGCAGCCCGCGCGCTGGCAGCTGCAGCGAAGCGGGCAGCAGCTTTTGAACGCGAGCTGGGTAGGCCGGCGAGAGAAGGCTCGGCTTCGACGGAGTTCGCAGCAGTGAGAGGCAGCGATTTTGGAGGTGTGGAGTCCGAGAGTAAAATGCGATGGCCCAGTGGGTGTTACGCCTAGCCATGACTGAACCAGGATGCTCCAAGACCACCAGTTCCTTGGGTGCAGAAGTTCGCTATGCTCGTCAGTTGGCAACTGTGCTGAGCTCAGCTTGTGGATGCCTGTGCAATGAAAGCATTCGGTCCACTTCGGGACCTGGACCCCCCCCCCGCCCGTGCACAGCAGTGGGTTCCGAGAGAATCAGCGCATTGCAGAGTAGATGCATCATCCAGGATAAAATGAAGGCAACCCCGATTTCTGACCAGGTGAGAAATCTGCGGGATGAAGCAGCAGAAGGCATGGCTTCGCGTGGCCCAGTTACAGCTTAGCTTGACCGGGCAGGTCTGGCAACCTGCGAGGCCTCAGTCGTGGAGACAGGCAAATGAGCTGGTCGGGCATTGACCGGATCCAGGTATGGCCTAGTAGTTCGCTCCCCTGCTGTAGGCAAGCAAGAGGCGAGTCCCCAAACCGCGGAGTTGCGCACCTCGGTGGCATGTTCTTAATTGCCCACGTGTGGTTATGGTAGACCACGCGCCCACGCGCCCAGGCGACGCGTGGCAGGAGTTGGTCTCGCTCTGGTGGGAGCCTTGCAGCTTCGACGTTTGAGCCAACGTTATGCGTGTGGCAACCTCCAGGGTAGTGAATCCGATCGGGTTAATGTTGCCGCTTGCCAAAGGCAAGACCTGGGCAACAATTTGGAGGCCTTCGCTAAGGAGTCCACAGGGTCAATCTCTGCATGACCCAGCATGATGTTTGTTCTCAGAATGGATTGCAAATGCGACTTGTTTCGACTTGGCCAACAAGTGCTTGAGGAGGCCATAAACAGAACTTGTTCCAGCCAGCTAGTCAAAACAGCTCCCCGGTTCCAAGTTCAGGGTGCCAGGTGTCGTCTTTTGTTCACTTCTTGGGGTGGGTCCGAATGGACGGGAGCATCCCAAATATACGTAATTAGGCACTGAAACAGGGCCCGCGTTTTCTGGGTTGGGGTGGCTTTTTGGTTGCTCGTGGCAACAGCCAGAATAGCGGTCGGCGGGGGAAATCGCTAGTTTAGTATTGGTGTAGAATTGGCCTATAAGGATTAGGGGGGGATTGACTGGAAACACGGTGGGGATCTGATTTGTGCCCTGACAACATCAGCAGCGCTGGCTGCCCTTCGTGAGGAACTGGTGGCACCTTCTGAGCCCAGCGTGCTGCGGCGCTCGCTGGATGCCAGTGTGAGCGATTCAGAGCGCCAGCCCATGCCCTGGAAGCACCGGATGGTCCCGTAGCATGTGCAAGCAGCAAGAATTGACAACTGACTTGGATTATCAGCAGTAGCCATTTTGGCCGAAATCATGGCTGAAACGCATTGATACGCCCTGTTCAACTCTTAGATCAATTTCACACTCGTAGCGAAAGCCATGCTCGAGAGTGCTTTTTGCAATGAGCACCCTGCCGGCAGCCGCGAATTGCAAGAAGGAGGTTTGTAATCAGGGGCCTCTGTTGCTGCAGAGACAGTCTTTGGTGGACAAGCAGATTGAGAAAGCCTTGGAAATCGAAGTCTTAGACTTAGTCTTGGCCAGTTGGCCTGCCAGATCTGGGTGGAGATGGACTTTGCGGACTCGGAACGGGAGGTTTTCTGCACTGAACGAGGCCCAGGAGCTCAGAGTCAAGTTCATGGAGCCGTGCAGGCGGACCTGACGTGACCACGCCGGGCTTCCGTGGCCGGAGGGGCAGGGACCGAGCAGAAGGGTTCGCAACGCCATGCTGGTGGTCTGGTGGCTGGATGAGGGCGCCGACACCGTGACACCATGTGCTTGCGGCGGCAACGAGCACCATTTGTGATCGAAGCGTCAATTTCTGCCAACTTCTTGCTCAAAGATATCAAGCATAAGCTCCGGGCACCTGCACCGGCATGTGCACCGTGTGCTTGGAGAATCTTGGAGACGGCGTTTTCGTGCGGTGTTGGCTGCACGAAATTCGGGATTCTAAAAGTCCCTTGGGTGAATAGAAACGGCAATGCCACAAAGACGACGTGGCAGGGCATCGCTATGAATTTGAAGGGGGTATGTTACAGGAACCCCCAAACACGATGGGCTTCCTTTTGAATTTCCCTTCCAACCTTAAGCTCAGGTGAATGTGATATTCCCTTACGGGCGGGTGAGCCCCTGAAGCATGCGCTCGACAGACAGGTGTTGCGAAGGAAAAGAAACATAGAGAGCGAGAGATGGCAGGTGGTCTAAGACAATCGCGCTGTTTGCTGATGAGCGGCAAGGACTGCTTTGGCAGAGGCAGCTCGCCGAGCAGCCCAATTTGACGAGGAGTTGCAGAAGCAGCGGCAGAGGCCAGAAGCAGTGGGAAAGTCTAGAGATGAAACTCACAAAGTTCACAAACTATATAAACACCACATATGTTGATATATGTCTTAGACCAACACTTAGCCTCTATCTCTGTCGAGGTTAAAACCGGCCAATAGTCATGTAACAAACCACGTCACTCTTCATGTAAGTAAAGAAACACGTAAAAGATCATGTAAACAATGTGTGCCTCCGTGTTGGAAGCTGGAAGCTGCATCATTTGCCATGTAACAGGCCTGAACAGAGATAAAAGGCGCATCATCAGACAAACCAATGGCAGAATATTGGCAAGAAGAAGGTAAGGCTCCAACGCGCCCCTCCCATCTCCATAACAAGCGCCCAAGATGTTGATTGAATGAGCTTTGTTAAATCCTTAGCAGCTACCATAAAAATGTTAGGAGGCCAAACATCTTAAGTCTTAAACACGTGGTTGGTAAGCCTAAACATGCGTGAGCAGAAGCAAGAGCAATTCCTGAGCATGCAGTTGCAATCTTCGGAATGGTTCCTAGGTGCGCAGCTCCAATGTCTCCGAACGGTTCAGAACGGTTCAGGGTATGATGCTGCAATCCCTCCTGAACGGTTCAGCACGGTTCAGGGCATGCTGCTTGCAATTCTTCCTGAACGGTTCAGAACGGTTCAGGGTATGCTGCTGCAATCCCTCCTGAACGGTTCAGAACGGTTCATAGTATGATGCTGCAATCCCTCCTGAACGGTTCCTGGGAAGCTTGAGTGACGAACGGTTCAAAACGGTTCTGAACTATACGCCTGCTCTGTGCGCTGCTTGCTAGACGGGCTCCAGAACAGTTCAGAACGGTTCAGGGGCATGGTTCCAATGCCTCCGGAACGGTTCAGAACGGTTCAGGGGCATGCAGTTTGGTTGCCACAGTTCCTCGGAACGGTTCGTGAGCACGCGGCTGGCGGTTCCTAGTCCTAGGTAAAAGGTCAGGCCGGCATCGGAACATCGAAAGCGATCCGAAATCTCAAAGCACAAAAAGGCAAAGAGTTGTCTGAAATTTACGCGAAAACTTACGCAAACATTTACGCAGAAAAAGGCTGGCTGAACCGTTCTGAACCGTTCAGGGGACACATTTTGAGCATGGAGGTCCGTCCGCAGAACTTGCGTGCACATGTGACAGCATCGATCGCTCCTCTTTTCCGGCCTTTGCTCAACTGCATTTCTGGGATCGGTTCTTGGATTCTCCGAGTCTCGCGGACTAACGAGGCGAAGCCGCGGCAGAGAAAAACAACGCCCGACAGTGCCACAACGCGGCAAGCAAAGCTGCAAGAAGGCAAGGCTTGAAATCGTCCTTTGCAACTCCTGACTGGTTGGATCAGTGGCCACGCGGAGACAACCGCGTGAAGAGTCGTGTGTGCATGTGTGTTTGTGTGTGTGTGGGTGGTGTCTGTGTGTCTGTGCGCCAGGTGCATGTTAGGAATATAGACGTCCGTTCATCTTGATGTTCTTCAAGATTGGCCCTCGCAAGGTCGCCCAACAATAAGATGACTAAGTCTTGATTGTTGGAAAGAGCCCTCGAATATTCTTAATGTTGTTCACGCAGCTGACATAACCAATGACCGGACATACCGGACGTTCTATGACAAGACGCAGTGTTCCTAGTCCTCGGTTCCTACAGCATCTCCTCTCTCGTGATCACTAAACACACGTGTATCTTGGCGGGGGTTCTGGCTGCAGGGTGTTAGCATGGCAACGCAACCCAAGCGCAAGCAGGGGCGCACGTGCTTTTGCGTCCGGAGCTTCTTGGCTTTGCCAACGGCACACATGAGGGCCGTCCTAAAACCCCAGTCTTCGGTTTTAATTATCGCCGAACGGGGAGAAGTAAAAGTTGTCAAAAGCCGTGCGCGCGCAAGGAGCGCGCAAGTGCGGCCCAAGGGACGCGCAAGGTTACAGTTTTGAAGGGTTTCATGCACTGATGTTGCCTAGCTTCATGAAAGGAGGTGATATTTTCTTGCTGTACTTGTGCTTTTCGAATCAGTCAGACGCCAAACGAAGCCAAAGCTTCTGCGGTCATGACTTCAACAATCAGCACGACAAAATCCGCGCAAGCCGCGCGCAAGCCGCGCGCAAGTTGCGCGCAAGCACGAGAAGCCCCAGCGAGACTAGCCGTGCTGTCTCGGATGTCCTTAGCGGCGCGGTTCAAGCAATGAATAGGCACCCGCAACATGCACTTTCCTTCTTTCATGCTGTGTCCAAGCTGTGTGGCAGAGCCTGCTGTTCTTTCTGTTGGGTCAAGGGTATGTTGCCAGCTGGCATTCAATTGCCGGGAGCGACCTCAGCGGGAAAAGTCTTTGTGGGTTGCTGTGTGAACGACAAACACACTGCTTAGAAAAGCTTGCGCGCAATCCACGCGAAAACTTCGCAAACCGAGGTCAACGAAAACAAGTTTCTGCGCCACTGTGCGCGCGCAAGTACGCGCAAGTGCCGCGCAAGTGCGGCCCAAGGGCCCAATCGCGGGCAAAGGAATATAGGACAACCGCCACATGCTCGCGAGCAAAAAAACATGTGGCTCGCAGCTACCAGTACGCATGAACATTGATGTCAAAGATGTCGCGGCTCTTCCAATGGTTCATGACTCATGATGCTTTGCCTTCCTTCAGTGATATGAGCGGGTGAAATTCGCGAAGGGGAAGGTTCTCATCAATAAATATCCCTGTCCATGAGGGACACTAAGTCCAGCTCACGCATGGTCACTCAAGATCGGGCAAGCGAAAATGAATTACAACTATTTACCTCACTATGTACCATATCATTTACGCACTCTTTCTATTAAGGGCCAGGCCAACCAGAAAGCTTGATTTATTTACGTGATTGTTTACGCTTCTATTTTCGGGTACGGCGAAAACGACAGACCCCCCTATTTATAGAGGCTAAGTTTTGGTTTAATATATGTCGCCCATGGTTTGGCTGGGGCCAGCTTCTTCGCCACAAGTGTTGTGCGCAGTCAGGCTTGCGCGGCGCCACAAGAAGATCAAGGGCGTTGCCTCAGAGGCAGCCTCTGTGAATTGGGTGGCCTGTTGTACGACCCTACAACTAGGCGCCACTGGGCCACTGGTTGTGTTTTGGCATTTCCGGCCTTTTTCAACATGGCCTGGGTTCGCAGCGTTCTTCTGCTGCGGGCATGAGAAGCCGGCACCTCGCTGGATCTGGAGACCATGTGACTCATGGGGCAGCACGTCTATTGTGCCCAGACGCCCAGACGCCCAGACGCTGCGCAGGTCGGCACGGAGGGGCTGGAAGATCGCCTGCTGGCCCTGGGCGATGCCTTTGAGCTCCAGGCCAAGTTCGTAACCACAAAACTTCTGAGTTTGTTATATTTGGTGTGTACTTGTTTTGGGAGAAGGGGGGGGATTATGTAAGGGAAGCCCAAAGACGACCCATTTTCGGGGTCTCCTATGTTAAGAGACACCTTCAGACAAGCAGAGGTATTATGTAGAGCAGAAACATGGGAACTTCTTGGTGAGGCAATTGCGTTGAATTGCACAGGTCCTTGCAGCAGACCAAGAGGCCGCCAAGTCCGCTTGCTGCAGCCTCAGACCTCTGCTTTTCATCAGCAGGCTGATGACTCTCGTGCGCGGATCCTCCAGTGCCAGGTTGTGCCTGTGCTTTCCACCTTGAGGTAAGGAGGCACTTAGCAAGGCAGAGGAGGAGAACAAATGGGAGGAGGCCGTGGTCCATGCGGCCATTTGGCCAAGAAGTGGACGCCATGTTTGTGTCTGAATCATGTCCAGGTGCAGGGCTGGCAACAAGTCGTGGAAGCGTGCCCATGATATGGGGAGCGATCTTGTGTTATGCCACACTAGCTGCTGCTAGCTGGGGGCTGTTTCATGTTCAGAATATTTGAGTTCACATTGCAGCATGCGGAGTTTTGTCCTACCAGGTGAAGTAATGTTTTGATTCACACTCCATGGTTTTGCAAGGCCTTGAGCAGATGGAGTCAGAACGCACCGTCTGATGCTTCGGCTCAATGGCAGGTAGCTCAGCGCTCTTGGATTTTAGTTGCCGCCCTACGGCTTTGTTGGCTTCGCGCCATGTCGTTGCGGCAGCTTTTGCTTTTGCTGGGAGGCGGCTTGAACGGTTTATTTGAGCAATAGCCGAGGCGTCTAAGGAGAGGTGGGGGCATAAATTGGGACAACTATTGTAGAAGCAAGACTCGGCCCAGTGCTGACTTGCCAAGCCGCCACGTGGGAAGTACCACAGTAGGGGAGGTGTGATCACAAATGGTTAGGGCAACGCCATGTCTCAAAACAAGTGCTGGCAACAAAGCCGGCAGGTTGGGGGGTGGTCATGCAAGCCGAACATGCTGACTCCCTTCCCCCCTTCGTGCTGAGCAGCTTGTAAGGCCTCAATATTCGCAGCTGCTCAGTAGCTGCTTGCTAACTGCCCTCTTGTTGTTTTGTGCTGAGCTGCGCCGCGGTGAAAGCTCCATGCGCTCGGCAAGCGCGCTCTATGCACGTACAGGAGAAGCAGGCAGATATTGCAGCGCTCAACCATGTGTTACTCACGGGCGGCGTAGCCATCAGTTGGCGCGGAGGGGTTCAATGATCAGATAATCCTCCATGTCCTATGCTCAGCAGTGAGTGCCGCCGCTTCTTTGCAGCTCATTGGCACATGTCAGGCTTGCAGGTGCAGAGCTTCGACTACAATGAGCCTCAGGCTGAGAAGTACATTTGGATGCATCAGCTGACGATGATGAAGGAGGACCCTGCACTCAAAGTGCAAAGGCAGAATGGCAGAACTGGATAGCCGAAAATATGGTTTGTTGCTTTTTGCGATGTGTTAAAAAAATCCGGCTGGGTGAGTCCAGGCCGGGAAAGACCGCAAAAATCAAATACATTGTAAATTGGTATCCAAAAATCTGGCATTCAGGGGTTGGTTGGGGGATTTAGAGCTTGCGCTGATTTGATCTTCTCTTATCTTGCCTTATCCAGGTACGGCTCGGTGGGAAGCCACAAGCCGAAAACGCCAAAACCATTCCAAAAGCAAAGCGCACATCGAAACACAAGCTCTGAAAGCCGACTCACTGTGCCATTCTGGGTGGAGCACAAGGATAACCCTGCGGGCCCTTCGTTGTGGAAGCACCCAGATCCTTATATCCTCTCGGCGGTTGCTGATAATTACATACTGTTATACTGAAAGGGAATTCTCAGGACTACTTTGCCGCTTGACGGGCTTCTCTTGGTTTCAGAAAATGGGCTGAAGCTTCATTTTCCACGATGACACCTTTTGGCGCAGGCCGAGTGTGCATTGTGCCCCCAAAATGGGACGCTGTGTCAAACCGAGCCCCCATGTTATCCCATGTCCAGATTTGGGCAGGACCAGCTGGAGAGTATGAGGTGCGGCCTGGCCTGTGAGATGCTGCCCGAAGTCTCCCAGGTGCGCGTAACCCGGGATGCCCTGCCATTGGACACCCGTGGCATCGTCACTCGCTATGCTGGTGATGACTGCGCCATCGTGTTTCGCGGCTCGAAGAGCCTTCTGAACTACCTGCTGGCAGTGGCCAAGCCGCAAGCAGTTTCTGTGGGATGGCCTGGCCATTTGGCTCTCAGGACTTTGACGTCAAGCTGGCAAACCCATTCGGCTGCTCAGCAGCATCCACCGGCTGAGTGTTGAATTTCCCTGCTTGGTCATACTGAAGCCTCGCGAGCTGTAAGTCTACCCGCTGGCAATTTTCTTTCAGCAAGAACGGGATTGGCCACTGAAAGGTTTGCGGCATGCAGCTCTGTAGTTGTGTTCACTTGAATCTGTCCAGAGCTGAAGGATCTGTTCAGATGGTTCCGGTTTGTTTTTACCGTGCTTCCATGCTGCTATGCTTCCAGCCGAGGCGGATCCTGTCCAGACTGTAAAGTTCACAGGGGCTTCTACAAATCCTGGCAGAGCTTGGAATCACAGACGCTTCGAGCTCTGTCGGAACTCGGATGCGGCACGGGAGCAATTAGCGGTTGCTTTGGGGTTGGCCTCGCGCGTGCCACGCATGTTTTGCCTGCTGGGAACGTGGACATGTGTTTGCAGTTGTCCTTCCAGTTTTCGTCCCTGTTCCACCATTTGGATTGCAAGCTGAGGATTCTACCCAAAAAGGTGGCCTCCCCTAAGAACCGATTTGCGGCTTGACAGCCGCATGCATCGTTCGTGAGAAGGTGAGAAGAGGCCAGTGCGCCTCAGCGGCCACTCCCTGGGTGGGGCAATGGCCATGTTGGCTGCCTTCCAGCTGTCCTTCAACTTCACCATCAAGGCAGCTGTAGTTTTCGCCCACAGTGACACGGGTCTGGAGGGGATCCCCCCATGTCAAGATTCATTTTTTGAAAACTTGAGTTTCTCCCTTGCCATTCCATGAATTCCATGTGAGTAAACAGCTGTCTCCAGGAGCTCTACACGTTTGGACAGCCCCGCCTCTCGGACAAACTCGTTTGATGCGGGAGTCTTCAGGATGACCTGCGCCTGTGCCCGCCCTTGCTCCATGATATACCTTGGCCCGCCTTGCTCCGTGAATACCTTTTGGATAGAGAAGCCAGTGTTCCCGGAACTGTGATTCTTTACAATCACATTGCTCAGTTTTTTTGGCAATTCGTTCTCTGACTCGGGAAGTCCTTCTTTCGCAACATCGCGTCTGGCAGTTTTTTGTGGGGGCGTCTATGCGAGTTATGCTCTTTCCAAAGGGCGACTTGCGCAAGAATCCTCTTTGGTCTCTATCGCGGAATTGTGCAAGAAGGCAGCTTTGCGTGGAATGATGCTTCCACATAATGCCATGCGGTGCGTCATTTTCCCAATGGGCCTAATTGTGAGTGGAACTTGTTAGCTTCTCTCTGTGAATACTGTTTTGAGGTTGTGCATGTTGTTTAAGCATGGAAACCGTTCGAGAGGAGAGCGTTTCGCAACACTACCAAACATGTTTATGCTCGGGCTGTTTTCCCAAACATGTTGCAAGGGGTTCTCTCACATTTCGAGCTCTTCGGGCAGAACGGTTTGTCATGTCTTGCTGTGTGTTCTCCCAGAGTTGAGTTGTGTCTTTTCCGTCCACGTTGGGTGCTCATTGCTACATGTTGCTGCGCATAAGGTAGCTAGCTATTCGGCAGATCTGTGCAAGATCTTTTGTTTTGAGACGCTTCTTTAGCCGTGCCCTAGAAACTATGTCCACCTATTGCTCGGCCGTTGGCCAGAAGCACTGCACTCGTGCGTTGGCTACCGGGCGACCCGGCCAAGGTGTTGGAGACCAAGGCTGGGTGGATGCCTTCGAAGCCCGAATGGCAAAAGCCAACGTGGCGTACTTCAGGGCCGGGCGAATCTTGCAGCACTTGCAGCATGCAGCAAGCGCGCCGCTTGACCGCTTGCCGCAAACTCTTACTTTATGCCTTGGCAGGTCACCGACTATATGGACCCCGTGCCACACCTGCCACCCGCTTGGTTGATGGGATATCGTCACGCTGCACCGGAGGCCTCAGACCTGTGCAGTGCAACAGGGTCACCTTCATCTCCCAGCCAGGTCTGGTACAATGCCACAATGCTGAAGCGTTACAAGAAATGCAAAGGCCTGGCCCCCCGCAATTGTTGTGGCCATGCTCTGGCATGGCGCTTTCAGGCCCCGACGATGATACGTGCAGCAGCCAGTTCTCCCTGGTCAGCGCATTGTTCCATATGTGCAACCACTGCTCATATTTGGGCTTGCCACTAGGCAGCACGGTACTATCACAAACAATGATGTGGCGCAAGGCTGTGTGGCGCACATTTGCAGTGTGACGTCGCAGACATGTAGACATTCATTGCGGTGCAACATGGTGCAACCCCGCCACATTTCCAATTGGCCTCACAGCATCAGACTTATGCTAAATAATTAGCCTGAATGACAGTAGTATGCAGTGTACAGTACTGCCTTTGCAATTTCTGCCCTGAGGAACCCTTGCTATGTCAATGCGGATGAGCCCGAGTGCATGCAAGGCGACCTGCCAAGAGTCTTGGCTGCATTTTGCTGCCCGGTTCTCCTAGGGTTCCACTGGCCATCGCTCACCGGCACAAAACTGATGCAGAGGCAGGAAGGACAGCGTGGCTGAAAGCTGAGGCGGTCTGAATTGATGGGCATGCGGATGTCTGCCAAGAGCTTAGTCTTGCTGATGTATAGCAGTTGCTTTGGTTGCTCTTGGGGTTGGCTTAGTTTTGTCGTTTTGTGGTTGTCAGTACGGGCGGGTCAGCCTGTTAAAATCAAAACCGCAATGACAATGACATTGAGTTCCTCCTTGTCATGGATGTTCTTCATACTCACGTTTAATCTTGGGGTTGGCTGAGTTTTGTCGTTTTGTGGTTGTCAGTACGGGCGGGTCAGCCTGTTAAAATCAAAACCCCAAAGATGACAATGACATTGAGTTCCTCCTTGTCATGGATGTTCTTCATACTCACGTATAATCGTGGGGTTGGCTTAGTTTTGTCGTTTTGTGGTTGTCAGTACGGGCGGGTCTGCCTGTTAAAATCAAAACCGCAATGACAATGACATTGAGTTCCTCCTTGTCATGGATGTTCTTAGGTCTTCATACTCACGTATACTGATATTGACACTTTTCGCGTTGGCTTTGTGTTGTCATCAGCAGGAGCAGCTCAGGCTTTAGGAAAAATACGGTTTAAGGCTTGAATTTGGTCATCGAATGACCTTCATACTGATGCATCTTGAACACTTAAAATTACCTTTCAACAGTTTTCCAACAATCATTGTCATTAAGTGCAGTCAAACAGTTAAATAAAATGGGGGGGAAATTACCTAAAACATGCAGGGGCGTTAATTGGTTAAGATGCCATCGAGCCCATGGCCTTCAACCCGCCCAAGCCGCCGCCGCGTCCCCTTTTTTCGCGCGACGCCTGAAGGTTGACAAGGCGAGCCATCTAATTATTTGCCAGGCTTTGTGCTAGACATGAGCTGCTGCCGGTAATACTCAGCCCTCATCTTGTCTGAAGACCAGTGTTTGCCTTGGTTGTTTTTCTGAAACTGGTTCCAGCGCGACAGCGGCTTTCCGCCACGACGCTCACTGTCACGTCTCTTCTGGTCGTTCTTGTTCTCTTGGATGAACGCGCTTGTCGCGGACCGCGTTGAAGGCCCAGTGATCTCGCCGCAGCATTGGCACCTGCTGTCCTGGGTGGCAGAGTCTCAGGTTAGCGGGCGGACTTGGGCCAACCTTACACCTGCCTAAGCCCACTCGTGACCTTACTTCGTGGCATTTCGTGGCCAAGCAAGTCAATGTCAACCCAAATTGCAACATAGGCGCAAATGCACATAACAGCTGGGACGTTACTCGAAAGACGCTTGAATGACAATTTTCAGGCTCAATGCTTGGCGTACGGCCAGCGTTATGTTGACCACAGGAAAATCTGATGCCATTGAGGATGAAGTCTTGAGGGCCTTCCAAACGCAAAGAGGCAACACGCCCAACTCTCAGCTGAGCTGGGCGGCCTTAGCCACCACCCACCTAAAAGAAACCGGTTCTTTGACAAAGCGTCTGCTGGGGGTGTCAACGGCGGTGCTGGTAGGCTGCTGATCATGTCGCCAGCCTTCTGCAGCAGGCATCGCAACAGCCATTTCAAGACTTCATAGATGACAATGCCGATGGCAATCTCGAGCACCAACGGCCACCATGGCTCTGCCTGCCCGTCCATTGAGCTGGTCCCTGCTCGAGACCCAACTGCTGCGGGCAGCGACGCTGCGGTCATTGCCAACTCGAACGCGAATGTCGACGGGCCTTTCCGAAATTAGCCTTGGTTGACCGCAGCGCAGCCGACGAATCTATGCGAAAATAGACTAAAGCTTTAAGCCACCGCCGATGAGCCCCGTTAAGACAACACGGCATTGATCGGAAGCCCCTTTGTGAAATGAAACACTTGCAGAACAAATTGACAACTTTTCATGTCTTTCCTGTCCCGCAGCCTTGCCGGGATCATCCTACTGTCGCCTTCATCGCCTCGCGCTTGCACGCCCCAGCACCCCGGGGGCGTTGCGTTGCTGCCACACTACTGCTGGGTGACCCGGCGCAGGGGGATTCCTCAAAAATGTTTTCCATGGGGAAAAAGTGCTTCGCCATACTTAAATGGAAACAACAAATGAGTTTAAAGCAAGTAGGGTCCAATGATGCCCATGCCAGGTTGTTCAACCAAAGACGTTAAATTAAACACATACTAGCGCCTGCTGAACGGCAATTGTCAGCTCCAGAACGCCTCAAGCAACTTGCGAAATAAAGGCCAAGTCCCGTTGACTGACACTGACTCGTCCAAAAATAAGGCAGCGGGGCTCTGCGGCCCTGAGTCGCCCGACTGCAACCGGGCGACTCAGTGCCACTGAGCCCCAGTGACTGCAAGTGACCCATCTTCAGCTCCAACTTGACTTCATTGATTGAAGTCAACACTGAGGTTGGGCGGCAAGTCATCGGAAGTCCTGAATCACCCGACCTGCATCGGGCGACTCAGGGCCACCGAGTTTAACTCCGTTGATAGTCTTATAGTTGAAGATCGGAAGCAAATGAATGACATGAGCAACACACATCGTCAGTTCAACAAACATGCCTGGAAGCAGCGTGTTTCACCAAGCCCTGAGTTGCACGGCAGTCCGTCGAACGACTCGCAAGCTGGCAGCCGCTCCGGTTTTGCAATTTTCTGCGCGCTGCTGTGGCACGGTCCATGTCACTGCCTTCCCAAAACGATGGCTTGATTTTTGCCTTCGTGCTCGCCTTTTAAGTGCTTCACCCTCAGAATGAGGACCTTGTCATCGCCCGCAACAGCAGCATTGACAATGAACATTTCCACCTTGTAAGTCTCCACCTCGTGGTAGCTGAATATTGCTGCCGCTGGCCAGAAGCAAAGGAAGATGCGCGCCCACTCGGCCAAGGCTGCGGACTCAGTGTTCGGCTCGATCGCCTCCATGTCAATGTCCTTGGTTGCACGAGAGCGGATCGCAGACCAACACCTTTATTTTAAACTGACGGCATCCTAAGTCTGAGACAAACAATTTAATGTCGCCAAGTTTCCTCTGGAAGCTCAAACTGGGTCTCCGCTGCGGCGCAGACTTCGCCTTTCCAAATGGTCGTCAACGGGTATCTGAGTCTCCCCGCCAGTGGAGACAACGACATTGCTTCGTGATTCTGAGTGGGGGCAATCTGTTACAAAGGTTAGATTCTCAACACTTCGAGCTTGAAAAGGAACCTATAATAATTTGCGTAAAACTATTTTCACAGGGCCGTATTGGCTTAGACGATGGTCGGTAGCGCCCTGGTCTTTGCTAAGAGCCCGCAAAGTCGCGCAAATGACACGGCGGATTCAAAGCGACAATGCTAATAGGCGCCGGAGGGGCAAGCAAGTCCACAAGCTCATTGGACAAATCCAAGCTAGACATCGCGCGTTTTCGGCCAAGCGACATGGTGCGGGTCATCCCTTGCCAGAGCAGCCGCCTACTGAATTTAATATTTCAAATTACATCAATGGGCGGCGTGCGGCATCATCGCCACAGAGCGCCTTGTTCATGTCCGGGTGAAACCAAACCGTACACTGCATCTGGCAAATGGCCTTTCACCTTGGCGGAATCAGCCCAAATGTCATGTGGAAGCTTACTGATGAGCTGGGAGGCCAGCATCGCCCGAGGGAGCATCCGCTGCAAAATGCTCAGCGACATTCCGTCGCCAATGGTCGCGCCCATTTGTCTGGCAGGAAACGACTGCAGGACCTCATCCACCAGCACTTTTGGCCATCCCTGCAGCGCAGCCATTTCCCAGATGTTCATCCATCGATTCAGCGTCACTAGGAAATGTCCATTTGACGATGCCCTGGACTTTGTCAAGCATGGGCTGCACTCCAGCATGACACACCGAAACATTTCTGTGGCCCCACCGTCGCACACGATCTGCCTCTTCACATCCCAGCCCTTCGCTTCAGCAAATGCCTTGGCAGCTTTGATGTTCTTCAGGGCCAAGTCTGTGACATCCCGCTTCTGCTGCACGTTGTTGATGATGAAGCGGCTGAGCGAAGGGCAAGTGATAGGATCAGGAAAGACACGCCGCATCTCCTCTTTCACTGCCCATGCCTTTGAGACGGCCACGAGGTACAGCCTTGGCCTGCTGTGCGGGATTCCCCCATGGACCTTCGTGTCGAGGACCTGGGCCCGTACGGAGTAATTGCAGAGGCGCAGAATCTTCACCACCGCATCCAGCACCGCTTTGCATTTCGGGCCGCTAAGCCCCCGCACATTTTCAAACACTGCGAGCCGTGGCCTCTTTTCCACGACGTAATCGAGGCTGTGTATCAAAACGCAGCCCCGAACATCTCCTAGCGACTGCTGGCGACCAGCGCTTGAAAATGCTGGGCAAGGAGCTCCGCTGACGTAAAGGTCACAGGCCGGAGCGCTGGAGTTGTCCCGCGAGGTGATGTCATCGTACACCTTTTCCTGAATTTCGAACTTGCTATTGGATTTAAGCAAGCAGAAAACACAAAAACTTTCGTCTAAATCTAAATGAGGGGCTGGCGTATCTCCAAAATGCGCGTGCATCTGCAAGGCCATTTTCCTCCTGGTGGGGTCGATGTCCTTGGCTCAAGGTTCCAGCCCAGCAACAATTTTGACAAAACGGAGTGCCGCAATGCAAGCAGGCGGCCGAAATGAAAGCAGTGCTCACCCGAATTGACTGGCCGAAGGCCAGCTTCAAGCTGACAAAGTCGGAGGACAAACCCGAGCAGTCAGACCCAAGTCGGACCACAGACGGAGCCGCAGCCCTTTCTCCAGGTCCAGTTTCGCGGCCAAGGCGACTGTTTGCGGCTTTCTTCTCAAGCTGCTCAATCAGGGCTTCAGCAAACTTCCTTAGCTCGCAAAAACACAGCTCGTTCAGTCAAGCCTTGACAGGCATCACTGCTGACAGACTCTGATTGAAAGCAAGGATCCTTTGGTCACTGTTCGTAAGGTCGCCGGCTGGCCACTTCTTCGAAGTCTTGGCAGCTGCTTGCGTAGGCGTTGCTTCCTTGGTTTTCGTCTTGGTCTTAGCCGTCTTCAAGACCTTCTTGGCGTCGCCTTTGTGCCCGCATGCCTTCTGGTCTTTGTGTCTCTTTCTGCCGTCCTTCTCTTTCGATGGCTCTGAAGCCATGGCAAAATCGAGGTCCATCTTGCCTACTATTGATTGACATGCCGCTTCTCTTGAGCATGTACTGATCTGCAACAATTTTCAGAACAAGCCGCCCGGCAAGAAAGACAAAACATGAGCAATGAGGCACTCGCAGGGGGGATTAAATGTCCTCGTCACCACTCAGTTGCGGAAACCTAAGCCTAGGCGCTGCAGTCACATTATTTTACACCGCTCTGAAGTTTGTGTCGCTCGTCATTGTGATTCAGATTGAAGGTCAATCCAGTCACTCAAAGCCCTAATAAGGTGTCCTTTTTGCCCAGTCTTCAGCTCAGCAGCTTCCAATTTACATTGATGCCTCTGCTTAACTTGAGCAAAGCCAGCAGTAAGTTTCAATAGTTGTTCAAAACACCGACGCCGTCCCCTAGCCGGGCCTCGCAGGGACACAAGACCCTAGTAAGGCCCGGCGCAAGGACGGTGTTTCACCCACGACGTTGCGCCGCCGAAGAAAACATATTTGATAGTTGATCCGCCGCGGAAGTCTGGGCCTAAGCGTCTTGAACAAAAAGCAGCCAGGATTGCTGCGGCCTAGCCTAGTATGCTCACTGACTGGCCGAGTCTGATCCAGAATCGTCAATCAGCTGGCAGGCCGGCGGCGCGTTGCCAGTCGGTTTTTCCTTCTTCTGCTTCTTCTCCGCCTTCCCCGTCTTCTTATTCGTCGTCTTTGGCTTCTTAGGCTCCGGCTCAGGCGCCGGATCTCCGGGGGCGGGCGTCGGCCGCTTTGGCGTCTTCTTGCCCTTTTCGGCTTCCGCATCCTTCTTGCCAGCTGCCGCCCACTCAGGCGCGTAGAACGTAGACCCTTCTGTCTGCATCTGTTGCTTGACAAACTTGACCAGCTCACTCTGGAGAAGCGAAGCGTGAGTCTCTGTCATGGTCAGGGCCATGTAAGGAATCCTCCGCAGCAAGGCCGCCTTGGCCAGATCTCCTGCGCCTGGCGTGCAATCCAGCACGCCTGTCTGACGTCTGAGTACAGCGTCACCGGCAAGTGGTTGAAGAAGGCAGGCTCATAAGAGTCACCGTCTCGCTGCTGTTCTTCATTCTCCTTTGGGTCCTCGGCAGAATCTGCGCCCATCATCTTGTCTCCGTACATCTCTTTCCTGACAAATCGGGCGACGCATATGATTGAGGCCCCCAAACATGCTACTATTACTATGGCACGATTAAATTTGAGTCGGGCTGCTTATTGTTCACAGTTAAAGTCCACTCATCCGAAGCGCTGCCCAAACCAATCCAGCCGATGCAATTCCCTCGGTTGGAGCCGGGGAATTTGGTGTGTTTGCGTTCTGGCAGCCAAGTGGACATGGGCTCGGTGCTGATCACGTGCCAGCGCTGAATCTGGTTGATCATGCCGCGGTTCAGTTTCTTCTTTCCTTCCATTGACTCCTCGACAGGATTGAAAGACAAGTAAAACCGATGAAAGCGAAGACAAAGCTTTCAAATTTGACGAATTTATAAGTACACAATCGAATTTTGAAACGGACATCGTCGTCCTGGCTGAGGCACAGCGTGATCTCCGTGTGCTCCAGGTAGTGCGCCAAGGCCCCCTTGCCATCCTTCGACTTGAACGGCGCCAAGAGGCTCTCCAGCACGTTCCGCCCAGCATCGTTCAAGAAAATGAAGTCTCCGTCAATTGGACGGTCGAAGTGATCCTCTGCCACCTTCTTGTTCGCCAGGCCGCCGCGGCCCTTGATGCTGCCGTGGATCAACTTTTTCATGAGGGCTGGGCTCAGTGGCGGAAACCTTCGGTCAGGCCTTTTGGCGGCCTCTGCAAACAGGTTGGCGTCAAAGTGGATCATGACACCGCTCTTGCCCTGCACGCCGCGGAGGTCGCCATTCAGGCCGCTATCCCCTACGGCCCGGGCAACGGCAGACTGGGTTGGAGGCTCGGCCCGCAACGACACATAGATCGCAACCTGTTGCGCTGCCGTCGCTGTCCAATGCCTTCGTTGACTGCTCATGCATTGCCGCAACAATGGCGCACGCTCGCACGAGCAAAGCAACGTCAAATTCAATTCTCTCCAAGGCACTCAGCCGAGCCCTTGGGGTACTTTGAAGGCTGCGGAGCCACGCTGCCCTGCGCGATCTTCGTGCACTCGTCCTGCTCGTCCTGCTCCTCCTCGGCCGCCTTGTAGAGCGCTTTCTCTGCAGCTAGTTCATTGTCTTTTGCTGCCACGCAAGCCTTCCATCGTAGACTGAACGTCTCGATCTCGAGCAGCTCAAGCGGGTTGGCTCCCTTTCCTTTCTTCAGAAGAGCAATCAAGGGGCCGTTGAGCGTCGTCGTGTACAGGATGTCCTTCGCGCCAAGGGGGCCATTGCCAATAATGCTTTTAAGATTGCATTGCCCCCCCCACCTCGATCAACCTCAGCACAAGCATGCTGGAGCGCTTCAACGAAGACATCCATTGAACTTCAGATGGACCTTCAAGGTTAGCAGCGGTCACGTATTTCCGGTAGCTGCAAATCGTCATGATCTTCGAGTGGATCTTGGCAAGGTCCTGAGTGTCGAACTGGCTGCGTGGCATCTCCACCTGAGTCCATCAATGCAATGCCTAACACCACGCATTTTTTCAGAAGCCTAGCAGCCATTGAACACAATAAACTTGAACCACAGATCCATGTTGATAAGTTAGTTTACTTGCCAAGACTGAAGAGGGCCGTGTTCAACAAGTGTTTGTTGATGGACAACTCGCTCTCAGGCCACTTTTCTCTTGCCTGCAAAAAGTGATGCGCCACAGTTCGCTTCAGCTTCAACAGCTCGACCAGCGATGCGGCTGTGGGCGTCCCAGCGAGGTAGGTCTTGGTGATGGTCTCGCGCTCAAGCGCTCCTCCCTCCACCATGTCGCAAATCACTTTCAGAATCCATTGCCTCAATAGATGGTCGCAAAGCAAAAATAAAAGCAATTGCGCAGATTCAGAAAGTCCGATGGCAGCGCTGTTCCCCGGCCTGGTCTCCATGTTCTCGCTTTTTTCAATCAGCACCCGAAGTTTCTGAAGGGAGTTCAATGGCGACTCCAAGCCATACTTGCTCTCCAACTTGTCCAGCACCTCGTTGCAGGTTGTGTCCACGAGCAACTTCTCATAGACGAACAGGCAGTCCTTCACGAATCCATCCGCCATGTCGCCTTTCACGGAGGATTTCGCCATGAGGTGGGCCTTGGACCGGAAGATGTCTTGCACCTCCTTAACTCCAAGTCTCTCGCCAGCCTCGGACTCCTTCTTGTTTTTGAAGGCAGTCACCTCAAAAGCGAGTTGTCGAGCGCTTCTCTTGAGGGAGTCGTAAGTCTGCACCACTTGCTGCCTCCGGTGGAAGCTGTGCCAGTACAAGCTGTCTCCCCCGCCCACCACTGTGAACACTGCCGGCGCCGACAAAAAGACCCGGCGCAGGCGCCTTAGCAGCTTCAACATCAGTCACTGAATGCGTCCGAAGACTACAAACAAAATTACCCTCTAAGTAGCTATTAAATCCCTGTCAGTCAGTAAACGTGTCTGAAAACCGCGAAACTCTCGTCGCTAGCTAATTTCCGAACACCTGCCTGGTCTTTGATGACATCCGCTAAGGTGAACAGCAAGGCGTGCTGCATTTCCTCCGGGCTCACAGCCTTCCACTTCCCCTTGCTATCCAGCATGTCCTGGTCCGGGCTGTCGACCGCGACTGTGAAGTTCTCGGTCAAGTGCTTTGCATCCCCGGCGGGACAAGCAAATTGCCCGAGTTCCCGGACCCTCTCCACACTGAGCGGTACTGTGGGCGTTGTGGACCCAAATGGGTCAATCCACATCAAGTTGATCGCGGCCCTGTAGCATCCTTCCTTCGTCAATGCTGCCTTGCACTCCCGTGGGTCGAAAACTGCCTGGCAGATTGACCAGTGTAATTCAAGCTGAAAAACAACTATTCGCTCTACCAGAAATGTCTCGTTGTTTTAGACAAGTGGTACGTTTGCAGCAATTCAGTGTTTTGGCACGAACTGCCCGCAGACACCTTGCGCATGCAGGAAATGCACTGGTTTTGCATTGTGAGTTGAGGCAACTTGTTTGTAGTTGCGGGCGTTTGTGTTGTTTTTTGCACTCGTTGTTGGTTGCCCAGAAGTGGTGTCAAACTGGTGTAATCAGCACAATGGGAGCAACACGGTCAAACTCTGTCAAACTGACCATTGCAGCATGCAAAGGATGTTCCGCGTAGTGGATTGCAAGGGCAGGAGTCAAACATAACAAGTCTAGACGACAATTTGAAGGATGGCGATCTTTTTGAAACTGCTGAGTTACCAGTTAAACATCCGAAAACTAGTCCTTCAATTTAATTGTCGTCATGTATGCTGTTTGTTTCGCGGTAAAATTGGTAAGTAGAAAGGCCGGAGCACAGATACGGAGTAGTACTAGTGGA